TTTTAAAAACCCCTGATAAATACATAATTTAGTGTAGACTTCTCTTGCCAGCTGGTTAACGTTGAAGCCAGAAAGAAAACTGGATCATTCTGTCATTATTGATTCTGACGTGGAAAGAGCAACAGAACGTCAAATGAGACTGATCAAACTCTTGTTGATGAACCTGCAACCACGAAAAGAGATCAGGTAGCTGACTCGAGTTAAGGCATCAGCTGAAAGTGGCCCGTTTTTAAATTTTGTCTCCTTTTGGTAACGGAGTTCAACACCCTTATTTTAGAGGATGGATGCTTCCAGTGCCCGTGCTCTTCCTGAGCAGGGAGATGATATAAGAGCTGATTCAGGCGAATCATTTCAGGGGATGAATGGCTCAGGTAGGAGCTGAGGCAGAACTTTGGCTGAAAGTTAAAAAAAAATAAAAAACACGAAGCTCAAACTAAACAGGAAGCTTTCTGACAGCTCCTCCAAGAGGGCCAGGACACACAAACCCAAAGTCTAACTCTGTAATTATCACATTAGTCACGGGGAAAAGTTTAGTTTTTACAAATGCAACACTCTCAGAACTTCTCCGAACCGTAACGATGAGCCTGATGGGAGACAAAAAAAAAAAAACAGGCAAGGCCCACGTGCTCTGAAACGTATTCCTGTCAAAACACATAGCTCTGACCCCTGGACTCTCCCAGTGCACGACTGGTCACGTAAATACTCACCCCGTTGTTTTGAACTGAAAAATAGACGGCTTCTGACCCAGTGACGTGTTGAAGCGATTCACAGACATTTTAATTAATCCAATAAAAAAGTGTGATAGAGATTTAAACATTTTGTTAGGGCACACCATGTGTGTCAGCAGCAACTAATGATTTAGCGCGGAGAAGAAAACCATAAATCCTCACGATCACATTTGGTGAGTAATCTAGAGCGGTTTTTAAAACGTCACAAACATCTCTGTAAACCGAAGAGCTCCAACATGTAAAACATCCCTGTCAGTATGTTCTAGGTCACCAGACGCATGTTACAACAGGACTGAAGCGGGTGTTCCACAAACAAAACCAACAAGCAGCGCCACACCTCCGTCGACTTATGGCCGAGTGAGCAAAGAACGTTCGAGCTTTGAAAACAGCTTTTACTGCAGACGAGCTCCGATGTGCTGGGCCCAAACCATGCACGAGTAAAGAGGAAAGCTCAGAGTAACATCCTGATGCTGCTCGATAATCCAGGTAGAAACATCTAAAAAAAGTTAAGCAAGGTCCTCTGGACGGATTAAAAAATAAAAATAATAAAATTGTTGAACCATTTCGTCAATGGACGGCTAACTGTCCATCTAATATCCTAACTATCGACCTACTAACTATTATTTATCTACTAACCGTCCATCGTTAAATGGGACGGAGGACTCCGTGTCCCCCTCTTACAATGTTGTTATTGCTAGTATCACTCAGCCCCCTGTGAATAGCAAGAGACCATCAGGGAACTAATGACCTGTCCTCCTTTATCAAGTGAACAGCTAGTTCTGGGTGTCTGCAACAAACTGGTTGATCCACTATAACATTGTGCCATTTATAAGACTGAGTTTGTTGCAGCTCCTCAGACTAGCTAATTCTTTGACCGGATTGAAATGTTTTCAGATTAAATCATTCAAATGCATCGTTTCCATGGGCGCAACCTGTTCAAGACGAGCGCTTACACGCAGCGAGCTTTGTTCCGAACAGAAGTAGTGACATGCGTGGAGTGGTAAACTCTCCTTAAAAACAAACAAACAAAAAAAAAAAACATAGAAGAAGAAGTTCTACTTCCGGGATGAACGTAAACAAAGCGGAGCGCCCTAAATGGACTCGACAGGTTTTAATGACGGAGGAGACGTTGCTGCACGCCCTGACTGAGCTACAGGTGATACAGATCCTCTTGAGCTCTTTCAAAGTTTCTAGTAGAAATGTTGTCGCTCACCGACCAGTTTGGCTTCCCCGACATGCTAATATTATTAGCATTAGCCAGGCGGAAATGACAGTCGCACATGCGCAGTCAGGTCAGTTTTTCACGATCAGGAAAAAAAAATGAACAGCTCAAGTGTTTACATGCGCACCGATCGGGTTGTGAATCGGCGTAAACCACCCGTTTCGTTCTGATCACAAATTCTTTCGGGTCGCGCCGAATAAACAAAAAATAATCCGAACGGGGCGTTTACATGACGTTTAACCCGATTCCTTATGTCCATGTAAACATAGCTACTGATGAAGTCTTTTGGACAAAAGACGAAACGTTTCAAACAATTTATTTATTTATTGTTTTCAATCCGTCCGGAGGACGTGACTTAACTTTGTTAGCTCCTCAGAGTAGCATCTTTCTGCGGTGGTGTCTGTAGCGTTTCCTCTACGTTGCTTGCCTTGGCAGGCGCTCACGTCTACAATGATTTTTGTTGACGGGGGTTGTGGTGGAGACCGACACACGCCTGTGTTGCTGTACCAAAAGATTTCGAGCGGGAGACCGCGCAGCGTGACGGAATCGGAGCGCAACCTCTAGCTCTTTAGCTAGCGCGCCGTATTGCGAGGGTCTGTAGGCAGGGCGCTCGGTTCTGTTGACAGGGCGGGGCGCCCTGCTTGTAGACCGGTAGGGGAAACACTGGCGTGCTTCCACTCTTCCGTCTGTGTTTCAGCAGGAAACACTTCTTCGGACAGCAGTCGAGTCTGAATCACACAGAAACCAAAAGCTCTGCAGAGTTTATTTTTAACTGAGCTTCCAAATAAACATGTATCACGTATCAGGACACGCAGCTGAAGCCAACCGTCAAATCACGGTACAAAACTGTGTCAGCACACAGAAGAAATAAAGAATATTTTTAAGATGAAATGAGACGAACAGGAACTAAACTCAAAGTTTTTCAGTCACTTTTTGAAAGTAAATCAGGAGAGGAAGAGCTAAAAAAAATTCAGAGTCAAACTAAAACAATGAATGTTGCATTTTGATATTTGATCTTTGAAAAGGCACATGTTGGATGCTGTACCATCATTTAACGTTAACACCAACAGAAAAACAAAACCAGTTATATCCCTTTTTTTTGTCTTTTGATTGCAACAAATTGTAAAACGCTCTGCAACAATTCTTTATAAATGTGCAATTAAAAAAAGCCTTATTTGTCAGGAGTCATGTCTTAAAGTACGTTTAAATGTTTAACCAACACACCACAACGAAACACGAGGATGAAAAGTTATGGAGAGAAATCAGCAGAATGTTATTTTAGAAAAGTGAAAATAAGATCATGAGTACATTTGTATAAAATAAAATAAAATAAAATAAAAACTAAATGAACGGATGTTGACTTTTACTGAGCAGTAATCATCTTGACATGATTATTCTCTGTCAAATTAGTTAAAATTATGGTGCACTGTGACTATTAAAGGTTAAACCGTTGAATTTAACAGCTCAGCGTGACAACCGTCAGCTCAAACTGGCTCACACGGTTTACGTTTCATCGTGGTAAATTCAATCCAGAGTCTCCCAGCAACCTCCGAGGAGCTCCATCTGTCCATCGGCGCTCAGCTGCACTCAGGACAGATGATTTAGAGGTCTGAGTAAACCCAACGCGCGCACACACATGCCGCTGATGCTCGAGAGGTGAACCAGCAGAACGAACGGGGTTATGTAACCTGGCTGATGTAGGCCAGTAGCTGCTTTCAGCTGACAAGGTCACAGCGGTGGGGGGCTGATGTCACGGATCCAGGACCCTCACGGCAGGTCAGGTGAGAAACTCAGAGCACGCTTAAAGCTGCCGTCTTCGTTAGGGTGCAGAGAAACACACCGACCCATCTCAAACGTTAATCAGAAGGTCACAAGAGGAACATGAAACATCAAAAATGTAAAGCTGGCAACAATAAATTAAAGTATAGATCAATAAAATGTAACTGGAGCAAAACTGAAGACTGTACTGCAAGTGCAATGACAAGATATTTATGAGGATCAGGTTGAGTGCAATGTTCAAATACACCTTCACAGCTGATTGAATAAGTGTCACCAAGCTGCAGAGCAATTTGACAATGTTTCCACTAAATGGCGCAGATAACATTATTTAGAATTGTTAAATAGTCCAACAGATAAATGGGCTTAATTGCTTCATACCAATATGTTTGGCTTCTGTATGCTGCATAAATAAGCATTTTTCATCCTCATATATTAAACTTTTAAACTGATATGAGATGCAAATGTACCTGAACAACAATTTAAAGGTTTTTCTTAATTTGATATTATGATCTTTAATTTAGCATTAAAAAAAATACAGGAACCAGCTTGCCGTTTATCATAATCTACTAACAATGCTTCTAAAAGGCATTTTAGTCAGCTAATCTAATAATTCAGTTTTCTATTCGACGACAAGGAGTTGGAACTGCATGCTTTAAATTAAAAATATAAAACTGGTTTTGATAGAGGTTTCAGATTTATCTAGATAACTTGATAAAAAAGGTAAATTTATTAGACATGCAGGCTGTTTAAAAAAAAGTTAGTTTTAACACAGTTTTGGGGATTTTAATCTTAGTTGATTGCAAAGTAATGAAGATTGAAGCTATGGGATTTGAGCTTGGTGAAAATAAAAATCACCTGCAGGAAAACATTTTCACACAAAAACATAGTGGGATTTACCTGTATAAATAAAGGTTGATTGATTGATTATGCAACATGCAGGTTCAGGGATGAAACTCAAAGTGCTGTGTTAGCAGCTTAATTTACTCCCTTTAGCACCATATCCATTTTTAAAACTAGCTGTAATTAACTGTTGTTAATAACAAAATGAACTGTAATGAAGACCGAACCGTCCACTCCAAACACGAAACTTCATGTTTTATTTACTGCTCTCAGTTTCCTGCTGCGAACTACAAGATGAACCCTGGATTAATTTCCTCACAAACATTAAACTGTGCAGCCACCGTCTACCAACAATGAAGTCTTTTCTTTTGCCCGTTTCTTGTAAAAACAACAACAACAACAACAACAACAAACCATGAACGTCTTCCTACCTCTCCTCTGTGTTTAGCATGATAGCTTCGAGGAAAACACGGTTCTTCGGTTCCCTTTAACAACCAGAACTCTTCTTGTTTATCAAAAAATCCAGGGATGTGTTCACCATCCGTAAACTGACACAAAAACTGATAATAGTCAGTGTAATTTCGTTATTTTACACGAGAAAGAACTCCTCCGCTGAACTAGCTCAACAGCTTCTGAGGAGCGCCGCTACCGCGCACAAGCTTTTATAGTGCAGCAAAGCATTCTGGGTAATTCTGTAATCCCGCCCCTTTTTCCTCAGAAGTCAACAAAAAGTGAAGTCGGAAAAGAAAAAGATCATTTAAAAGACAAAATGTAACATTATCATTGCGTCTTTATTACCTCTTATATGTTATTATTTATTACTATTGTTTTGTTTAAACCTTATGTCTTCTCTGCACATAAATAACGAGCTACTGATAAATGTAATGTTAAAACAAATTAAAATCTCTTGCGGATCAACTTAAATACATGGAGAGTTTATTTCTCTAAACTTTAGGACGGACGTTGAAAAACTGCAACACCAGATTAAGAAAGAGAAGCTTGTGTTAAAAAAGCCAGGCCTGTGAATGATAACGTGTGACTGAACTGATCTAATGAGCCTTTTTCTGAAGAAACATACCTCAAACCTCACAGAGCTAGGCCCTAAAACGAAACAACTCTGCGGAGCTTCATGTTGCGGACGATTTCGACCCCTGAGGTCGCTTACAAAAGAATACTGAGACAGGAAGAGAGCTTAATAAACAAAGAGTCTCTGAAAATGACCCGTCTTGTTCTCCTTTCTGCAGCCTCCTGCCCGTTCTTGACGAGGATCAGCTTGGCCCGGGCTCTCAGTGTGAACCCGAACATAGATCCAGTTATGTAAGGAAGAATGGAAAAAAGCCACAGCACCAAACAGATTATTGGATTAGTAACAAGATAGCAGCCGGGCTACTTGATCCTGGCACACACATCACAGCGCTGATGTTGGAGGTCCTGCGTGCCTGACTGAGCGAGGGACTCGTTCTACCGCCTGCCTGCCTTCATGGAGCAACACTTCTGTCATGTAACCCCCCACAGGTGAGGGTGTCTGTGCAGAGAAAATCACACCACTTCTACAAGAACAAGTTTATTTCACTGCCCATTAGTCCTCATAAAATGTTGAATCTAAATATAATTTACTGAGCAACATTCATGTCTTAGATGATTCAAGGGTGAACAATCCTGAATTTTAATCTCATGCTCTGTGATCGCTACCATTGATGCAGATTTACTAACAATAACATCGGATGATGCTCTTTTCCAGGGATGTCTCCTTCCGTGCATGCACGTCGTGAGAGAATGCATGGTCCCACACAATCAGGGAGCGCACCGGAGTAACAGGCCACAGCACATCCCCAGTCCAGACTAGGGTTAAAGGGACCTAGGCTAGATTATAACTCGGGTATATTATGCCCTAGGACAATTTATACTCCTCAGGCCAGATTACAACTTTTTTAATTCAACCTTTATTTATACAGGCCAGTCTCGTTGAGCCACAAAGACTCGTTTACAAGAGAGACCTGTTCCAGACAGAACATATAAAGTACAAACAAAAATAACAACAAACAGTAACAATAGATTACAGTAAAAATGCAGTTAAAATAAAAGAAGTGTTTAAAACGATAAATCAAGGTAAAACACTAAAAACAAGAAGATATTTGGTTTGATTTTACTAATGATGTTATCAAATGTTTAAAAACATGATGTCAGTAGTGTCATATTTACAAGAATTACTTAATTTTTAATTGTTTTATTCAGGGTTCATCTTTGTCAGGTACGTGAGAAAGATAACTGACTTCAATCTTAAAACTCTACACATCTGGTATGAGGCCAGATTATGGATTTGGGGATAAAGATATTCTGGCCTGGAGTGGTATAGCTTGGCCTGAACCAAACTAGACCCAGGTTTAAACTGAGCAGGGGTTCATTTAACATCCCACAAACAAGCTTTAGCAGCATTTAATGATTCAATTTAAAGGTAGATGTTTTTTAAAACAGATTTGGACATTTGGACTGAAAAGGGTGTCAAATTTGGTACAGTAATGTTTATGAACAATAAATGTACAGTAAAGCCATATTTATCCAAATAAATGCAAAAAAACATGCAATTGTGTGCAGAAGTTTGTTTAGATTTCATATTAATCGCACAGTGCAATGAAAGACATCAAACATTTTGAGCAAGGCTTGTTTTTGTTGGCACAGACTGCAGGAGAAGAAGCTCCATCAGCGATTTGTGGAGTCAAACCAATCTTCAGACTGGGAGCTACAGATGTCGGAAAAAACCAGTGCTTCATAAATGATCCCACCTGGCACACCTGGCGCAGCAATCAGCAGCCATGAACTCCTCCTGCCTAGCACTCTGAAAATTATAATAATTTGAAGTTAATTATAAGAAAATAGAGAGAAAAGCTGTTTTAAGTTCTTAAATTTGCATAAATGCCGTGGCTGAGAAGGCCGCTGGTGCAACTGCTGAAAGAAAACAGGATCCAAGGAGCTTTCCAAATAAATCAAGATACTCAAGTGGAGAGGAGTGACAGTGTAGAGATCATGTCTGATGGATCCTGGAGAGTGGAGGGAACTGTTTTTTTCAGCACCAAGTGCAATGGTGGAGCCAGGGGGTGGTCATTGGTGGCCTATATTCACATTTGGCTACCCCAAGGGCCACCCCACTCATTTAAGGAAACTATGTTTTTAAGAAATATACAAACTAGAAATTATAGTATCCTCAAATGACTGAGGTGGCAGGTTTAGATACAGCTGTGGTGGCGGCCATCTTGGATTTGGACAACAATTAATTTTTAATGGTGACTGTTCTTACAGATGCAGCAACACACCAAAGCGGGAGTTGGCACGTCGCTTATTTTTCAAGTTATCCAGCTTACAACACAGGATGTCAGCAGCCATTTTGGATTTTGACATGGCAACCCAATATTTGGCAGTGACCTTTCTTACACTTCCAGATGCAGCCACACTCCTAAATGGGAGTTAGTACCTAACTTGATTTTAAGTTATCATGTGCACATCATGCACAGATAGACAGATGGATGGATTCATTATTTCCAATTTCCCCTCGTTGCGCTGCGATGGATTTCATTCAAGCCACAATAAATTAATTTGTTTACAGAAAATAAAAGTTTTCCATGGCTGGAATGTAAAAGTTACTTTATAAAACCTCATTGTGTTGAAAAAATAATAATAGAAAAAAAATCTCAGATCAGGTGAGATTTCAGATTAATCATATCTCTGCATGTATTAAAAACGTATATCCTAACTGAAGCATGGTGGCGTTAGCATTATGATGTTTTTTTTTTTGTTGTTTTTTTGCTGGCGGAGCCTGAAAGTTGCACAAGATAAATGCATTGATTAAATACAATGAAGATAAATGCAATGAAGCTCACGTTCACTGTGTAACAATGACCCAAAGCGTGCTCTGCTACAGCAGCACTGCTGTGATTTACAGGGAATGACTTCAGCATTTTGAAGACTCAAAAGTTGCCGTCTAACTCGTTCCCCGGTGCGCTGAGGACTGTCGTACAGCAGCAGCTGAGAAAAGCCCCTGAAGATCGTGCTGGATCTCAGGTGAGTGCTGACCATCTTAGTTTTCAGGACAGGCTGTTCTCAGTCTGCCCTTCAGGAACTTCATGCCGTGGCACCGACTCAAACACTGAAGGCCGGCTACAAAAACAAAACATCTCTCGCGTTTCAGCACGTTGCCCTGATGCGGTCAGAGCCGAGGCAGGTGACCTGGAGTCTCACGCTCCACACTGGAGACAAGGAGCTGGACACTGGACACTACCTCTGCATGGAGGATGAAATATTCAGCAGGAGCTCAGCGGGGATTGATGAGTTCTGACAAAGGAATAAGAAGTTTAATGCCTCCTGAAAAACCTCTAAAACTAATAATGTGAACCTAATAAATGTCCTTTTGTTTCTTATTCACTGATTAGAATTTACCACTTTTGTATTTAGTTTATCTGAAGCTGTTCAGCCTTTTATATTATTGAAACCACAAACCACCATCACGTGTCAAACTCAAGGTCCGGGGGCCAAATGTGGCCCTTGTTGACATCTTATCTGGCCCCCAAGATGATATGTGAAATGTAAAATACTTTTTATCACTTTAATTTTTTTTCATTAATCTTTGATTATGATGTCGAAAGTGCAACGGAGAACATCAAATGAGACCAATCAAACTCTTATTGAGGAACCTGCGGCCAAGAAAATTGGCCCTTAGTGTGAAAAAGGTTTTAATTTTGGTGCTCTTTTGTGAGTGAGTCTGACACACCAAGCTTACATGAATAACAAAAAGGCTGTAGTTTAATTGGCACATGTCTAGAGGAAACATCAGAACTGGGTCAGTTAAGAAACCGTTCTTCAGGTTTCATGCACGCAGCTCTGCACAAAAGGCAAACGGCCACAGCTCGTACAT